CTAGAGACTCCTCCCTGTCCAAAGAATGTCCCAGTCCAAGAAGTTATACAACTAAAAATTGAATAACTCAATACCTCTGCCCATATCTGCCAGTTTCTTTGAGCCCCAGCCGAGGTAGACCTTAAGCTATATTATGTTAGTGGCATAGCAGCGTTAAAATTCCCTTGAGAATTTTACAAAGAAAGAAATTTCACTCGTGGTTGCTGTGCATTATTGCCCTTACTAGGTTTAGTAATGTCTGCATCGTCTGCTCAAGTAAAGTTACTTTCTTTCTGTCACAATTTAATACTGAGCCTGATAATGCTCAATTTTTTCTTAAGGTATTCCAGAAATGGTTTTATTAACTTTGTGGACACATAAGGGGTATAATTTACCCTAAACGGTACAGCAATGTATTGGAAGAGCTGCCACTTGAATATGAATCTGAAATATAGTATATTCTATGACTCTCCCTAACGGGTACCAAAGTCCCTGCATATTCGTTAAGAAAGTATCTCTACGGAGAAGTCTAATCCCAGTTCAATAGCCTAGACTTAAGTGTTATTTCCCTATAAACAGACAAAGTGTCTTGAGGTAAGGAATCAAACGTGGTGACCCATCAGACTTGGGGGCAAGAAAAAGTTGGATAGGTGCTGATTTCTAGTTAGCTCAGCTTTTTTACTGATAGCAACGCAGCTAAGAAATTCTTAGATGGACTAATGAGATTCAGCTATGGCAAAGTGCTAAACAAGTCGCCATCTGAATGGCAAGTGACCACTTGAATCAAACTCAGGACTTTAGCGCCACTCTCAAAGCTCTGCCACTGATGATGAATACGCGTTAATGTCCACGCTGATCTACACACCTCATCTGCAATAGTCGGTTGATGTTGTCAGTACGTTGTCTGGCCTTTTGGCTGCTCAGTTTATCTGATTTCTATTTAGAATTGACTTACTTGGTCAGACCTACACCGAAGAGCAAGATATCACTGGAAGCCTCTGTCAGAGTACTCCTAAGTTCTTTACTTTAATGTGAACATCTGCCAGCATGCACTCCTCTCCCTTCTTTGAACCTAGAGTATAGAGTATTGCCACTTGCAGTTAATGAACAGCTCACATGTTGCTGTACACAGTCCAAGCACGCATCACTGCGTGCGACAATTTCTATTATGGCTTCCGTTACCTCAGGGTTCACCTTAGGTGGCTAGGATTGAACATAATTTATTCATCTATCGTCATCAACAAGTTCTGCCCTCGAAATGTCAGCCTTGGAACAACGCGCGAATATTAATTATACTAAGGTCGCCGCATCATCGTGGTGATGCGTCATCTATTGAAACAGACTACATGGCCTTTAAGACAATCCAGAGCGGCCTGCTGTTCGAGTGACACCTATGCAAAATGTAACGTTAATCGGGCATAATGATATTTAACTTCCGTTATTACTGAACATTAGAACTTTGGTGGTTTCCTAACCAGAGATGTTCATACAGGTACGTACAGTCCTGTTCCATAGTTATCACCAGCCATGTGGAATTTGCTATCACAAGCAAAATGTAACGCTAGTGTCGCATAGATTAAACCTAATCTCTATCTGTTATTAACGAAAAATGGTACTTTGGTGGTTTCCTAAACTGTCATGCGCACTCTGGCATAGATATTCCAAGGTTATCACAAACCAAATGAAAATTTCTATCACAGGCAAAATGTAACGCTAACCTCGAATAAGGTGCCTATTCTTTATCTGGTGATAAGAAAAAGATATACATTGGCGGTTTTCCAGCCTGACAGGTTCATAATTACACACCTGTTTCACGGTCATCACAAACCACGTGAAATTTGCTATCCCAAGCAAAATGTACCGCTAGTCTCACAAAGATGTACCCAATTTTTATCTGTTGTAAGTGAAAAATGTTATATTGCTACATTGCTATCACAAACCAGATAGAATTTGCTAAACCAAGCAAAATGGAGCGCTCTAGTCTCAAAAAAATGTACCCAATTTTTATCTGTTATAAATGAAAAATGGTATATTGCTGCATTGCTATTACAAACTAGATGGGATTTGCTAACTCAAACAAAATGTAACGCTAGTCTCGCATATATGAACCTAATCTCTATTTGTTATTAATGAAAAATGGTACTTCGGTGGTTTCCTGAACTATCTTGTGCATTCTTATTATGCTGCTCCTGGGTTATCACAAACCAGATGGAATTTGCCGTCACAAGGAAAATGTAACGGTAACCTCGCATAACATACCTAATCTCTATCTGGTAATAAGGAAAAAATATATCTTAACAACGTCCTAGCCTGCCATGTTCAAACTTACAGTCCTGTCCCATGGTTATCACAAACCAGATGAAATTTGCTATCACAAGCAAATGAGAAAAGATTGTTGACCATACCTTTTTGGTACGTTGTCCCAAATGCCTTCAGTGTTGTTATTTGTGCAACGAAGTTCAGTATTGAGTCATTTTTCCAAACATCTTCATTCGTCCTTGGTGTGGACTATCACAAGCTAGGTCCATATTGCTATCCTAAGCAACCGAGTCCAATGTTACAACGTTATCCCAAACGTCTTCGTTCGTCCTTGGTGTGGAGCTGACTATCCCAAGCCAGGTCCACGTCGCTATCCCAAGCAACCGAGTCCAATGCTTCAGCATTATCCCAAACGTCTTTATTCGTCTTTATTCGTCCTAGGTATGGAGTTAGCTATCACAAGCTAGGTCCAGGTTGCTATCCCAAGTAACAGTGTCAGAACGTTATCCTAAACGTCATGTTAGGCATAATTTGCAGCGCCGGTGAGGCATCCATACTAATATTCATTGAACTTGCACCTAAAACAGATCTGTGAGTTGACAGTTACCTGATGGTGACGCCCCTTCAGAAAAAGAGGCCTGCACGCCACTTTCTAATTTTGGTCCGCGACGAAAGGAACCTTCAGGCGACCGTCGGTCGGTATCTCGTTCGACAATGCACATCTATCAGCCAACCTTCGGTCCTGTTTTCTAATTCTAAATGTTCAGCGGATCCTCGACACTGCACTGCACGTAAACGACGTGCGCCGATTAACGTATTGATGGTCGGGCACCAGAACAAGGAATGAAGGTTTATAGGCAGCCAGAGGGGAGAAAGATAGGGGGAAGGGGCGCGGTGCCGAGGGTACTACGATATGTATTCTAAATATTTACTTCGACGAGGACGGAACATAATTCACACAAACTGCACTAGATCATACCAAATTATACTCATTTTCCGAATTCAAAAAATATCATCAGCCGCTGGCATAGTACGCGGCAACACCGCCTGCTGCTGAGCACTAAAACCTCTTTCATCGTTGTACTAGGGGAATTTACAAACGATTTTCTCCGCCGAAATGGCAGCCGTTTTTGACACTGACAGAATAGTTTTATAGCTGATTGTTATCCAATCTGTGATCGGTTTAGCCAAGAGCAAAGGCCCTACGGACAGCTCCGACAGACAATGACGAATAGAGAAAAATCTAAGCTGTGGTCTTAGGGCCACATCATCAGTTGTTCTTACATTAGTTTGATTATTTAGTAAGTTAGTATTTCAAGATTTCTACTGTTTCGTTTTAGCGCTATATTTTGAGGTTATATTTTCATTTTGAATTCTAAGAAATTTCAAAACATAACTTTTCAATAGGAGAGTGCTGACACTGACACGGAACAGTAGAAACCTAGAAATACCATAGCCTTTCAGAGGGAGAGAAAAGACTATGAAAATTCGATGAGGCCATAAAGGCGTCCTACAATTGTAGGAACGACTGACGATACGGCACTTAGTTCATCATACGTTTTGTCGTTGGAGATGATTGTGGGAGGAGAGGGTGGCAGAATCGTAATGGTTCACTTATTTCTTTTTGGAACCTAATATCTCGGTTATCTTAAAGCTTTGATGTATAATTATGTTATTAAAAAAAACATGTTTATTATTGGCTGACCTATACGTTCTGTAGAGGAAAGCCTCATCCTTGAGAGCACCCTGCATAAAGTTATGTTGAAGCCAACAAGTACAACTTACAGAGTTATTATATTGCCAGCTTCCCATTGTTTCGGTTCATTCGTGGTACATACCGAATCAGTGAAAAGTGGATATTTGAAAAGGCTCCTCATATCACTGGCGCTGCATTGGTCTGGTATACAGATCGCCAACTTCCACATCAACTAAAATTATAAAGCAAAATATACGGATAGGTAATTTGATCGAAAAAGTATTTCTTGGTTTTAAGAATAGAGATGTCACGAATAATGTTTTGTCGAATAATAATACATTGAATAATACATTTGTAGTTACACATTTTGCGGGTGACAGGAAACTGACGAAGTAAGTATCTTTTAATCGCAATACTTGTTGGTGAAATGCGAGGGCCGTTTTTAACACGTTCAATGCCACTGCTGTCTATTGCTGTGCCTCCATCGCCATAAGGTGTGATCTATCATTATATGGTGTTTTTTTTTTTCGGTTCTACTGCTAAACTTTTTTCATTCCCTACTATGAATTATGTTTATAAATTGTTTGATTAGTTCAATATGCTATTCATTTGAATAAAAATAATCTTGTCGCCAAATGGCGACGCCAGCAGTCCTAAATTCTACCTGTAGTGGCAGTGTCGCCATCTGTCGGCCTCTTTTAGTATCATTTAAAGCAACTTTCAGGCAAAAAATTAAAAACCCTCATGGTCCCTCACTACATGCAACAACATTTTACTGGCAACGAACGTGTTAAGGTAAAAACCGATTGCGCATCCTGCACTCTCATCGTCTCACGTGAGGTCCGTTCAGCCTCAGACACTTTTGACCAGTCTCTGACTACGCCGCCATTACGTTTCATGTCCCTGTCGATGTTGGTTGTATGGTTTTACTGATTTGTAATTCAGTTTTTAAACGCAAAAAAGTTCTTTCTACATCAGCAGCTTGATGAATGGGGCGTGCTGTCGTCCTGCTTCACGACAAATCTCGGCCTAACGTTGCGACAAGAATACAGACGCATCTTGATAAGTTTCGTTGGGAATGGCTGGATCATTTATCGTACAGCCCAGACTTAGACCATCAGACTTTCGTGTTTTTCCAAAACCGAAGGAATTTCTTGTTGGAAGGCGCTCGCTTGGAAAATAATGACATGTTGAAAGAAACAGTTACCAACTTGCTTAGCGGTCAGGCGGCAGGTATGACGTCGTGAAAGTTTCTCTAACTCGATTACAAAACTGTTCCTACTTAAATAATAATATATATATAAAAATATAAATATAAATTTCCTTCATCATTTGCTACTCAAATACCTAGTATTAAAACAAGTGGCAGAATACCGATCATTAAAACATATTCGAGACACTTGAGACACACTGTATATTTTGATATTTTACTGATCACTTCGCATCGCATTATCTTGATACTCAACGTACTGAAGTATACCGATGCAATATTTTCAATCAATGGAAATTCGATACTTACGTCTTTATCTGATACATTTTTCAAATCTGGTACTATTAGTCCGGCTGTACAGTATTTTCCTCGTATCTTCCCTTTGCTATAATCGTGTTCTATTAAAACGCATTCGTCAAAGTTCCCCAGATCAAGTCTGCTTACTTCCATCACACCTGATGGAATCTTTGAAGCAGCATCCAACACTAAAAACCATATAAACTTATAAAATAGGATAAACTTTATTCACTGAATCATTGGATTCAAGAGTGTACATCTACATATTTCGCATTGCATCAACGCTTATACAATAACTTATTTCTAAAACAGGATTAATTCATAGTTTCCACAGGAGCATGGTTTTTAGGACATTTCTACATTATGAATCTTATAAAAAATATTTATTCCTGCTGTCCATGTTTCGGTTTATTTTGCTACAGGATCATATTGGAAGCAAGAAGTAGACAGTGTGTGCAGGAAACTGAATAGGTCCTACTATGCTATATTGAAATTGAAGCTAAATGTCCCCAAATCACCGTTGATAGATGTGAACTACGCAACGGTGTATTCGCATCTGTCAAATCACACCATCGTCTGGGGATAAGTATGCACAGCATCCAAAGTGTTCATTTTGCAGAAACGTATCTTAAGATTGATATTTAACATTACCAGGAGAGAGTCATGTAAAGCAATATTTCAGTATAATAGCTTCTTAACGCTCCCATGTATATATGTTTCTGTAAAAGTCCGAAATACGGTGAATTTCGACATTCACCAAGTTTCTCGGCGTATATCCGAATTATTGGTTAAATATCATTATTTCTGACATACACTGGCGAATGTCAACATTCACCATACGCATTTGGTGTTGAAAAACATATTTTTATAAAGGAACACTCTTATAATGAGCCGTATTCATAAAAAAGAAGCATATCCTCGGAAGCATAAAGTAAAAGTATAAGGCCCTGCTTCGGAGAAAAAGGTAGAAGTATAAGCATATCCTTGTTTTCATATTCATAATGGTTACCTTATACTCGCGAGGATATCCTCCAAGAAGAAGTAAAAGGTTGACTGGTATTTGTATCTTGAGCGACATGTCCCGACTTGTTCCAGCTTGTAGTTGTCGTGGGAGTTCGTTCACTCAGCATCACTGACAGTTGTACTCCAGAGGTTACACAGACCGTTCCGTATTTTCACTGTTTTTCTTATCAAATTAATAAGCATGTCATCCTCAAGTGATGAGGACCTGCAGTTCATCGCAGATAAAATTGCCATTGCTCCCATTATTTGGCAAAGGTCACAAGTTCCAAAAATAAAAATGAAAAAAGACGATGCCTTGAAGAAGATCTTGAAAAAGTACGAATCAACATTAGATACTAAAGGCTTATTAAAAAAAATCAACAACATGAAATCAAGATTGAAGAAAAAACAGATTAAAAAAACTGGTAATAAAGCGATTAAATTGTTAGATTGGGAAAGAAAGTTGCTGAAAGCTATGGAGGGTGACTATAATCCTATAATTGGGAAAATTACAGGTGCCATTCAGATTAGTAGTGTTCAACAAGAAGGAAGTGAACTATATACGAGCGCAGTGAGCAAACAGTTAGTATTACAGCGCCAGCAATTCAGAAGACATTGCCACCAAAAAGAAAATTAGCAACAGAGAAATACGAAACTGAGGAAACCAAAGGGTTAACTACAAAAGAACTGCAACGTCTAGTGCTCCTACAGCAGTACCAAACAAGTATTTTACAACAAGGGTATTATAAAACGAAATTAGAAATGATGCAGCGTCAGAATCCACCTGTAACTTCTAATGATCACTAAAGTAAAACTTATTATAACTTATAAATACACTTTAATCAGTAAAACTATTTATTATGTATAATACTCAAGTTTCTCGTTATTTGTTGACCTAGTTGGCGGAGAGGAAGTTCGTCATTCTCATGATTTCCTTCATCTTCATCTGGGTCTTGTTCAACTAACTCAAAGTCAAGATCGCGCAAGCTCTTCACAACATTATGGTGTACAATACAAGCAATAATTATTTTCGGCACATTTTCCAACTTTACGTGGCAAACATACTGTATGATAGGAAACCGGCATTTCAGTTGGCCGAAACAGCGTTCAATCATAACTCTTTCTTGTTTTAAAAGCTTATTATAATTTATCTCTGCACCGGAAGTAGGATTTCTGAAGGAAGTCATAAGGTATGGCTCAATACCATAACCGTCATCGCCAAGTAGTACAACATTTGCTTTATTTATTAGTTGTAATCTTGTCTGTGAATTTCTCCATATTCTGGAATCATGCACTGATCCAGGCCAACTGACATCAACACTTGTGAACATCTCTCTGGCATCACAAGTGGCTTGCACATTTAAAGTAGGTTTCCCTGTTCGGTTGATATACTCATCTCCATGGCGATTTGGTTTCAGGATTCCTATATGTGTACAATCAATAACACCAATTGCTGTCGGAAATTTATACATGCTTTGCCATATCCGCTCGGCGTCCATCAGTTCATGGTTGGTAGTTGGAAACTTGATACATTCGTTCGACTGTGCAACTAAGCTGTTCACAACTCTATCCACAGTCCGAGATACCGTTGCTTCACTAACGCCAAGTTCCAGACCAGTACCTTGTTGATATCCAGGGTCAGCAAGATAGCGTAGACATATCATTTTATGAATATATGGAAGTGTTCCTCCTCGAGTTTCCTCGTTCTCAACTAAAAATCTGTCCGTAAGCCATTGTACATTTGCTTCGTCGAACCGATATAATTTTTTGGAGTCACGACTAAGTGAAGGTAAACGAGGTTTGTACGTTTCAACATCCCTAACATCCAGAATTTCCGCCATCATCGTTTGGCCACCTTTCGTTACGAAGTTGAGTCTTCTACTGACCACACTCAGAATTTTTGAAGGATATGCTTATACTCAAAAAGCAAAAAAGTTTACTACAAATTATTATAAATATCATCTGGAAGATTTCTTTCAAAATTTGCAAGTACAAGGATATCCTTTGTTTTATGAATACGGCTCATTATTATGCTTAGGCCGCACTACGGTTTTTTCCGCAAGCGGTAAACCACAAAACCGCCCGAGACGCACACACTACGGTTAAAAACCGCGAAAGTGGGTACGATTTTCACAGTTTGAAGATGGATTTCAAGAGGACTAAAAACAAAACGTTATCAAAAATCCCGCAAATATTGGGTCCATCCACTGACTAGCCGAAGATTTAAGAAAGGTCTTTTTCATAAAAAATATCAAGATTTAAGAAAACACCCTGACAAATTTTTCAACTACTATCGGAACTGAAAGTTCTGTGCTTTAAGCACAATGGCGTTTATATCAACGACATTCCATCCTAACACTTTTGACACTGTGTTGCTAGATGTACGATTACTGGGGAAAGGTAAATAAGCAGAAATTACTTGTACTCCTGTTCATCAATTTTCAGTACTCGGTCACCCCCCGTCTCCGTTTTTCCATCGTCACACGATCATAAGAACATTCGCTCCCAGATTACACGTGTCTAGCAACCCCCCACTCTTACCCAAATTTTCAATGAATTACTTATTCTTATTATTTGGTTAACTTTTACTGGAGCTATGTCTGTTCTAATACGGTTCAGTGTTCCCTATGTCGACCACTCAAAGTCAGTACCACTGGACATCTCTCGGATAAGCCGGTAGTTGGTAAGTGGACCGACTAGAGTCAAGTCCAGGAATCATCTACAGAATTTGAGTATCTTTGACTTGAATTGAACTCCGGACTGAGAACGGCGCTCATCAGTTTGTTCAGGCCTTTCTATGAACTGTTACGTCTTTTTGAGAGGGGGGTCATACAGCTTGTTACATTACTTCTGTGGTTAATTAACCAAGTATGACATTAGGAAAAGGAAAAAAATAGCCTCCAGAGCAAGGAAGCCCCTCTAAGACATAGTTGCGTCCACCAGAAGGAAGAAATCAGAGGGGTTAGGACCTCTATACCTTCTGGAAAAACAGTTACAACTGTCGGGGGAAGTCAAATACCTGAAGGCAATACTAGACTCCGAACTAATCTGAAATCCGCAGATCAAACGCTCTCATGGCAAAACATGGGGATTAAGCCCTTCCATGATGCAGGGGACGTACATAGTATTAGTAATGCCCATGATGACTTATGCATATCTGGTTCTACAGGACGGTGTTCCGAAGAATGACAGTACCGCGCTTTTGCCGCGTCAAATGCGTGCGCGCCAATAAAGTTCTATGAACTACGAATTTTAGCGCGGTTTTTTCCGCATGCCATTCTGTAACAAGTCGCGGTTTTAGAATCGATCGCGGGAAAAAACCATCCTTGCGGTCGCTTTCATTAGTTGACTTGAATCACAAAATAAGGCGGTTAAAATTCGCGGCGGTTTAGCCGTAGTGCGGCCTAAGCCCAAGGTAGGTAGGTATATTTTTTATATAGGAGCTCAATTCGTTCACCACATATTCTTTGGTTGAAAATAATATCACTCTCATATGGCCATTTTTTATTTTGAGGTTTCCTGTTCAGATTACATGGTGTTGAAAATCAGTAAAAAAAAATGTTATGCCAATAATTCAGGCATTTCTCAAAATATTCAAATAAAATTTCTAATATATACTTCTTTTATGAAGCACGCATTTCGCGAAAATTTGGTTGAAAACAATGGAAAATGGCAATATAAAAGTCCTATTATTTCACCCAAAGAGTGTGTGGTTAGCGGACACCCTATAGATGTAAGAAATGTTTTAATAAACATAAGAACATGATTATTGTACTTGAAATAAACAGTTCAAATAATGAAGGGTAACTAAAATAATATCAAGATTACAGCCGTACATAAGCAGTTTCAATTTTTTAAATAAAATATTTAAAAAGGAAATGTAATGTTATTTATTGCAACAACTTAAACTACTATGACGCTTCGAACTGCACAAAAGTACCTTGTCTTTACAGCTACATTTAGCCGTTGAACAGTTTCTTTTGCAGTTACAACGTGTATAGCCTGGCACTCCACTTTTTGAATTAGCACGAACTGCTTCTCTTAGCGATATTTCTTCAGTTGTAATCTCATCCATGGGAAGTAATTTCTTTTACAAATTACAAACTGATTACGGGTGAAAAGCTACTTCAAGGTACCATTTTTGTTTGCTACTTTATAAAAGTATGAATCCTCTATTACAACAACCACCGCTAACACAATTTAGGGATCTGTGAGACCACGGTCAACAACAGGTACTTTACTTCTCACGGTATCACCTATTTGGGCCGGTGGATTTTTTTTTTTCGGAAGTTCGTAACAGTTTTGTTGCTTGAAGTAAAAGATTATCTGTTGCGGCTGATATTTTTGGAGAAATTAGCTTGTGCAGTTCAGCGATTACTGCTAGGTAGCGGATCGACTAGTGTTAGAGATGTAGACGTGCTACACTGGAATTCAGTCGACGTTTCAGATAAAGGCGTGCTAGGTTGCGAATCGGCTCGAATGGAATTTTCGTTGTGAACGACGCTTTCATCCGAAATATGATCTTCTACTCGTATATGGTCACGACCCAAATTTTCTTGAAACGTATTTAAATAGACTTCTAGATCTTCATCGGTTTCAATATTCTTAAGTTCTCAGCAAAGGAGAGATGGCGATGCTGGCCGCTTTTTGGTTTAATGCCAAACATGGCTTCATATAGACTCTGACGTATTCCTTCGTGTTAAATTGTGTATTTGGCAAATTGAATCAACGGCAAACATTCTAAGCATTTATTTGAATCATTGTCATTCATCTACGCAGTTAACATATTCTGTATGTCCTGACAGGCTCGTTCTACTAAGCCTTGAGTTTGAGTTTCCGTGCACTATTTTAACGTCTTTCCACATAGTGCATAGATCAGATATGACTCGATCACTGAACTCTCTACCATTATCCGAATGCAATATGGTTGGAGCACCAAATGCTAAAAAAATTTGAAGAAGATGATATGCTACGTATTCCGTTCTCTTGGTTTTCAAAGGGTCGTAACTGGACAAACTTTGTTAAATGTCCTTGGTATACCGTTATAAATTTGTAATCGCCATCGCTGTGCGATTGAAAATCTATTAAGTCAACTTGACATCTAGAGTTCAAGTCGGAACTGATCATTGGTTTCACAACAATACCTTGTTTAGGCGCACTGTGTTTCATTTGACACTGTTTATACAAGTTTAAATACAACATTACAACTTCATAAGTAATATTTTTTATTTTACTTGTAATTCTTTATGCGTACGTGTTCTACACATAAGGCCTGCTCTTTTGTGAGCTTCGGAAAGTATATCAAACAACTCTGCATTTGTAACATAATACTGGATATTAGTTTTTCCTAGTTTTAATGGCACAATTAACTTTTGATCATCACGAACTTTTAATATGTCAAAACGTTTTAAACGAATGTAGTCCAGAGATGTACTGCACTTACTTTTAGCAGAATTCACTTCAAACACGATTTTAGAGTACCTTTTTTGAGAAAAATAGAAACAATTGTCTTCTCGTTTACTTTCAATTAAGGCTTCTAACTGTTGAAAAAACTGATCACGACTTACTGCAGTAGCCATTGCTTACAAATAATATGATACCCAATACCAAATTAACTTGGCAAGCTTGCACTCATCCGCTCTCAAACCTTGCGTAAGACTGATGGGAAGGCAGCAAGGCAACACGCTGCCGCCAAAAACCCAGTAACAACAGGTCATTTTCGACATTCACCGCGACCCATTTTTGTTTGTCAACATAAACCGCTGATTCTCCGAAACTATAATGATATTTATAAATGCTCGGTCTTTCACCAAGCCAATTGGTGTATGTCGACACTCACCGGTGAATTCACTAATTTCGGACGTTCACAGTAACATATATATTTATAAATGCGCCCTCTACACCTTTAACCATAGGGTCTAGTTTCTGCAAAACAATGACTTCAACATGAACTACAACACTAGAGCAAAACAGGGCTTCAGTATACCTTCGCTTACACCAGTGGTCGCCAACTCGTCGATCGCGAGCTACCGGTAGCTCGCAAAGGCAATTCTGGTGGCTCACAACATATTTTAAAAAGGTATAAAAGTCGTAGAACCTTGCGTAAATTTTGTAAATTCTCATAATAAACACAAGCAGCGGCAACACTGCGGTGAGCGAACTGTTCGGAAACGATCTCGATTACTTTGAACGGAATAAATACGCAAGGCGCGGCGACAGTGCGCTCAGTTTAACACTGAACGGCACAAAGTCCAGCGGTTGGGTTAGAGTTGGCTTGCAATTGAAAACATTATGAGCCGTAGTAAGAAGATGCCGACATACCATTTCCATTCGGAATGGGAAGAACAATATTTATTTATAGAAGTTAAAGGTGAAAACGTATGTTTGTTATGTAATACATCTGTTTCCGTTGCTAAGAAAGGAAATATCGAAAGGCACTATAAAACTGTTCATTCGAATTTTCAAAAATCATTCCCGTTACGTTCTGCAATTAGAACGGAAAAACTGAAATAACTGAAAAATCGGTTAATTTGACAACAGACAATGTTTTTAAAAACAATCGACAAAAGTAAGACTGCAAGTGTACCGTGTATCCCAGATAATTAAACAAAGGAAGAAACCTTATGAAGGCGGGGAAATGAATTTTTAGAAGCTGCAGATTCATTATTTACCAACTTTAGAAATACAGACGAGATAGTGTCTGCTATAAAATCTATGCAACTTTCTGCTACTACAGTGATGAGACGAGTAGAAGTAATGTGCAATGATATAGTCTTACCGTTAAAAAATGACTTCAACAACTGTACTTATTTTTAAGTGATTTTACGATTAATGATCTTTTGAAGTTCATTCCACTAAGAGGACAGACTACTGGGCAGGACTTGTTTCCTTCTTTTAAAAATTTTATTTTTTCTGCGAAAATCCTGATATCGCTTGACAACCGATAGCGCTCCAGCTATGATGGGTCGTGATAAGAGTATCGTGGGGTTATGTCGAAAAGATGAAAGTTTTCTGCAATTTCTGTTACCACAGCATTATCCATCAACAAGCATTATATGGACATTTTCTAAAACTAAAGAACGTTGTGAAGTTGGTAGTAAAAATTGTGAACAAGATTAGAACTGAAGCGTTTCAAAGAAGATTATTCAAAACCTTGGTCGATGAAATTGACTGTCAATCTTCTGAAGTCCGATGATTATGTAGGGGATGAGTGCTGAAACGTTTTGATGATATCGTATCTGTCATAGTTCAATTTTTCAAACAACGCGATGAACCGATTCCGGAACTGGAAAATTCAATCTGGCTTAGAGATGTTGGTTTTCTTGTGGATATTACATAAACATTAAATGAACTTAATTTGCAACTTCAGGGGAGAGACACAGAACTACCAGAAATGATTTCTGATATAAAAGCGTTTATGAAAAATCTTGAGTTTCTGGAACAAAACTTAATCTATGGCGATACCAGGCATTTTCCTGTTCTTTCAGAAAGTCCGTTAAAACCATTTGATAGTAATTATCATGTAGAAATAGTCTCTAGCTTGAAGGATAGCTTCAAAAATCGTTTCAAGGCTTTCAAAGAAATTGCTGTAGTGGCGCGATTTGTTGTTTCACCCTTCATGGAAAAATATATTCAACTGTTTGCAACTTCTGTTACGCAGAATTTTAGCGAAGACATCGCTGCGACAGAAATGGAAGTGATTGCGTTTCAAAATGATTTAGCTTTAAAATCATTAGTCTCAAATACAAAATGTATCTGGCCTTTAGTAAGTAAAGATAAATATTCAATTTTATGTCGTGCTGCCTTGAAAGTTAAAGCGTTCTTTAGCTCAACCTGTTTGTGTGAATTTTCTTCTTCAAATATAAAGTTCATTAAAAACAAATACCGTTATCGACTTATGAACATTTGGATAATTGTATTCCAAAGGCAGTATGAAATTGTACTCCAAACATTAAAAAAATTGTCAGTGAGTCTGACTGTCAGGCTTCTCATTGAATTCGCATTTTTTATCTGGACATCTTTTTGTTTAAAATAGTGCGTTGCTTTTTTTACTTTTAGTTACCTTTATTAAATCGTGTGTGACATGCCATTGTAGCTGAAGAAGAATTTTGTTTATTTGTCAAACACCTACGATTGATAGGAATGGATGTAGTTATGTAGTATTTGTTAGTCCTTAGTGTATTTAAGTTTATGAGTATGTATTAGTATTAGTAAAATGATCACATGTATGTCGCATGCAACTGTGTATAATTTCACTTAAGTCGGCTGTTTATTCCAAAATTATCAAAGTAGCTCAACACACTGAAAAGGTTGGCAACCACTGGCATACACCGTCAGTGTTTGATTAATCATTAGCTTACACCTGCACCAAGGTATTCAATAGGTTGAAATCAACACTAAAAGATATCAGCGGCCCAAATAGATTTAAGAAAGAGCTGAGGAATCTGTTAATATAAAGATGCTACTATTCAGTAGCTGAGTTTCTTTCACCATAAGAGTGATGCACCTCAATTTATAAGATTAAATAAGAGGCTAAAGTTGTGTATAAATGTTTCAGCCTTCCGATACTTTTATCTGCGTACATTTTATCTTCTAGTGTGATACTACTTAATCCTTATATACCTTTATCATTTTTATTTTTGTGTCAGCTTGTGCGTGCGCGCATGCGTCCTTTGTCCTTTTTCCACTAATTTATACTCAAATATTGTTAAGAATAATATATAGAGGTATATCTGACGAGCCTTGTACCTATGATCCGAAGACAATAAATCATCTATCTACTGGATCCTTTATTGTGATCCCTATCCAGACGTTCAAATATTTTCAGCACAGGAAACAACGGATGAAACTCTCCAATTTTGCTGTTAAAAAGTAGTGCCAATGATACCTCAAAAACCAAGTTTAATGATCTGGCATGTTAAAATTAGTGTAAGCAAGTATTATTTAAGGCATAAACTTTAAAAGACGAAATAATTTTCATTCATTTCCTATAGTTTGTTTTTTTTTCAATGTTTTCCAGGTTTTAGAGACTGGTCGGCGAACTGAGTATACAAGAACTATAACACATTGAGCAAAATGACAATTGTGTAAAAAATTGACCATTGATTAAGCTTTGTGATGATATAAAAATTATTAAAGGAGATAAAAGCTTTTTGTACTTGTAAAAAATAGGAAACCACAATTTTCAGATTGCACTCGTATAGGTAATGTACTTACTTCGTATCCCTATGGAAGGCCGATTCCTGACAATCTCCAATAGTTGGTCGTTGCATCCTGAAGAAATATTCGCTTTCTCTATCAATGACACATCCAAATGGCTATTTTGTAACTGCTGTAATGCTTCCACGAAACTAATGTTTTCCCATATGCCCTCAAAATTCCCATGGACAATTGGTTCTCCATCACGGAACTCGATTTCTGGTGTACCGAAGATGTCACCTCTCACGATTGCAACACATGCTAGCAGCAAGAGTCCGAGGAACTTGACAAGCATTTTTTAAGTTTGATTCAAACTGAACATACTTGAAGCCGCGTATCGTATATATCACGTTATCAATCGATCGAGCACCAGATTTTTAAGAGGTTATCTAAATCTAGTTCTCGTACACTTGAAGAGAATGATTGTAGTTCCTGTGATAGCAGGCAAGCATTAGTACATAGTAATACATGGTGTGATTCAAAGGGCAAATTGGTTTAGACGAAAAGTGTAAAGTTTGGTGGATGCTGCTAATATCAAAGAATATAGCGTTAACGTTGGGCTGCCATCCGCCCGGATTCCCCGGATTCGTCCGGGGGTCGTACGCAGTTTTTATCTTGCGAGATATAAGATGCACAATCAAAAGCACCTCAGTATAATGACTCGTATAACCCTGTAAGAGCAACCACACACTTATTTAAGACTTTTTTTCTCAATGAAAATAGAAAATAGTTGTATGACCAAACTGGAAAAGATATCAAAAATCTGTTTTCGTTACTAGTGCATATTGTGAACTTATACAGGGGGTTCCATAGTTTTGTGTCATAGCAAACATGTATTTTATATAGAACACCTATATTTTGTTGATATCATATAACATGTGGCTCCGATTATGACTTGCTTAGATACTTGGTCAAGCATCTGAAGATATTTAGATAAATCTTAGATCACAAAAATTTTATTATCATCGATTTTAGACTGCTCTGAAAAAGATGCTGAAATTTCTTTAGATTTATAAAGGGTATCCCAAAACGCAAAAGTAGGTACCTTTTCTCAGAAATTTCAAATGACACAGTCTGTATATTCAAACATCTTTGAACAGTTCTTTTTGATATAAATAAGTTTATACATCTTTTTTCTAAACGTTTTTGAGTTATTTCTACCAATTTCAAGAAAAACCAAATACATACATCTTGTATTTAAACATGGCATCAAATCTTCTATAAAAACAATAGCTTTTATTAACACAACAAAAATAAACTCAGTCCAAGGCAATCAATCGGAATAGATTGTTCGAATATAATTTCTTGGTGCAAAGTACACAAGGCCATACCTCTGTTGAAATTATCTTGCACATCTAAGGACCGTATCATCAGTCGTTCTTACAACTGTGGAACGCCTTTATGGCCTCCTTGATTTTGGTAGTATTTTCTCTTCTTCAGAAAGGCTGGGGTATCTCTAGATTTTCACTGGTCCGTGTCAGCGTCAGCACTCTCTTATTCTGAGGTTATGTCTTCTTTTTGAATTGTAGGTAATTTCAGGCTGATACAACAGATGATATAAATCAAAATTATGAACAACTTGATGCAAATAGATATTTGTATCCGCTTAAGTGGCTCGCTTATACGATGTTTCAGGTCCTCGGGTGTTGTAGGTTTCACCCGATCAATCTCTTCTTTTACATGGTCAATGAGAAGGAAGTCGAGAGGCGTCAGATCGAGAGTACTCGCCTCTGAGTTCCGGTAGGTCTTATTAAACATCAGTGATACTAATATTAATGACAATGGACAATCGTGTTACCCAAGTTGCTGAAGCAACGTGGTTGTGAAAAAATACTGGACCTGAGATCAAACATTGGGGAATCAACAGAACCACTTGGAATGTATTACAACCATTTCATTATGGATGACTGTCTCAGGTTAAGAGAAGTCTTGCTATGCAAAAAAAATCATTGTTTTCATTGAAGATCTGATTTTAACTCTAAATGTGGAATGTATTTTTTTCTTGAAATCATCGGCAATAATTTGAAAACTGTTACAAAAAAGTGGTACAAGCCTTATATCAAAAGAAATATTCGAGATTTATGAGAAAATGTGCATTTTGCATTTTGAGATACCCTGTATAAACAGAAAGATATTTTATAATTTCTTTCATATCAGCTCAAAATCGAATATAACAAAATAATTTTTGTGAACTAGAAGTCATCTAAATATCTCCAAAAATGACGGAGCTGCGTGCCGCCAAAGTTGGTCATTTTTCAGACATTTCACTAAATATATACTGTAAACACTTGACAATCACAACCACATGTTATATTACATCAAACTTAAACTTAAACTTAAACTAAGAATACATGTTAGTTATGACACGAAGTTATGGAGCACCCTGTATACAGGGTGTTAGGGTCATAATATTCGTAACTTTATGAGGTGATTCCTTGCATTATTCTAGGCAAAGAAGTTCATGTCCGAAACTCAACCGTTTCGGAGCAAAAAATTGCGGAACTTATTTCTTTTCAGTCATGAAATAAATTAATTTTGTACCTTAATAATTTAAATTCATATGCCTTATAGCGTAAAATGTATCAATGCATCTATTTATTAATTAACTGTCTCTAACAAAATAATTTTCTTGCATATTAAATACAATTTTCCGACAAAAAACAGGCAAATAAAATCCCTCACACGTCGTACTCTGCCTGCATTGCATGTATCATCGTGTGTTGTTGTGATTACTAATACATTTAACTGTGACTTTATGTGATCTACGGATGTTGTTTTTTTTTTCTTTTTTCGTGCATCGCATCATTTCAAATAAGTGACTGATAATCGTGGGAATTGGTGGTGTGTATCGCCACGTACCGGTAAGTTCTGTCGTTTTCTTTTTAAGTAAATGTACTGTACTGAAAGCGTTATTAAATAAGAAAAATTAGCCAAAAAAAATTACGCAAAGGTATTCAATAATTCAAGGTATATTTTCAACAAAAATATCATACAAACGTAAACAATTCGATGAATCAGTTGCGGTCGTCATGCGCTCGTATCGCGGTTCCGTTGCAACGTTGCCAAATGTTTGAGGAAATTTAATTATTTACGACTCACTTTCCTCGAAAACGATTGATTTTCATACATAAGTTATAATGAACTTTCTTGCTTAGAAAAATGCAAGCAACTACCTCTTAAAGTTATGAATATTATTTCCCTAATACCCTGTATATTGAGATAGCATATACAGGGTGACTTCGAAGTTGAGTCATTTATTTTAACAGTGAGTAGATCTGATCAAAAGAAATGTTTTTTTCTTTCCTTTACCATTTTTCTAGTAAAATTAAAGTAACAAAGTTATAGCCCTTTGGAAGTTTGAGTACCGCCCTGTCTCAATAATAATATCATGTGCTCGTGTTTGACAACAACGGATATAATCCGCCTTATCGGTTCATCGCATCGGAAAAAAAAAGCGAAAGAATTTGGAACGATGTTTTTACAATTATTTTATTCAGTTGTATACATACAGTCAGTGTCAGTCGGTAACGCGTGTGAATAGTGGTGTCTGTTGCGTGGCTCAAACGAAATAAAAAATGGCACATGTTTATGAGGATCGGTTTCCCAATCGAATGCAACCAACCCCTCGTGCCTTTGTTAATGTAGTACAACGGGCTCGTGAATCAGGTGACTTAAGACCTCACAGAGGACCTCACGATCAAATACAGGTCCGCACTGAAATACTTGTCTGGAGGATACTTTATAAAACAAGGTAAAAATTTTTTTTTATTTTTTTTTTATTTTTACACACATATTTTGGTTTATCTTCCTTCTACAATCATTATCTGAAAATTAATGACTCAACTTCAAAGGCACCCTGTATAAATAAGCACTTGTCATATATCCAGGTTTTCAACGAAACAAATTTCTGATATATTTTTCAGTTTTCCCATGAAACTACTTTCCATTTTCGGTAGAAATCAATATGTGTTGCCAAGAATTATTTTCCTTTCCAGGTTACCTCAGAAAGAGAGAGGCATAATTTTATTAGTAATGGCTTGAGTATTTCATTTGTTATACTGCAAGTATTAGTCGGTTTTGCCAATGTTTGTCAAACATTTTTGGATAAATCACTAGCAAGCTGTTTAAGTTAATAAGAAATTGAAAATGACAAAGAAGTTTTTATTATTATAATTAAAAAAATCTGGGTTGTCTGGGGAAATGTCTCAGTTTAATGCGAATGTCCGCGGTTTTTGAATATTTTGTTCGGCGTCTGTAATTTAGGTGATAATAGCCCTGAGTTAACAGACAAGTCTTCGCAAAACAGCTTAAAAGGAATGAGAGTATCAATCAGTCGAATGCCATCTGCTCAGACAGCCATTAAGTTCATCGTAAATATCGTCTAAATGAGTAGGAGGTTGCGTAAATAGTCTCAAACAGAATTAAGGCAACATTGCTCAGGGTACCAGGACATGAAGAGCACAAAGGAAATGAGAAGGTGGATAAGCTAGCTCAGCAGGGTGCGGCCAATGCCTTATAGATCCAGAACATATTTGTAGCGTGACGAGAGCACGCATCAAACAATCAATAAGAATGTAGGCAACAAAACGGAAGCCTGGATTTACAAAGGACCTCTCGGGCTTAATAGGAAGCTTGTCAGGACCACAGTGGGTCCCAGAACAGGACACTGTCATCTAAGTCTATATTTTATGAGGCATTTGGGTGTGGCAGAAGCGGCCACATGCCGTTTCTGCAGAGAGCACGAGGAAACCCCAGTGCATCTCTTGTATCACTGCGAAGGCCTGGCAAGGACACAGTTCCGGATATTACGAATCACAAATCCAACAGCGAAAAGCTACATGCAAAGCCCTGTGTCAATTCTGTGGAGTCTGATTAGAGGATAAAGGCTAGACATGTACGAGCGCGGTCCTACAAAAGGAAAACGAAAATTTTGGAAAAGTGTCAATTTATTTCTCAACATAGTCTCCTTTTAGTTCAGTACACTAGACTCAGCGATGCTCCTTCTTTAATCTGTCTGAAAAATACGGTTCCTGAAGGTCTGCAAAGTAGGCCGCCGTGGCGGCGATAACTTCCTCATACGACTCAAATTTCTGGCCCTTCTCTAGGTCGATGTAGATCACGCCTTGTGAATCCCAAAAAGAAGTGGCCATCACCTTTCCGGCCGATAGGGCAGTCTTCGCCTTTTTCGGAGCACGTTCGCCGGGTGAAGTCCCCTATTTCGACTATTCCTTGGTCTCTGGTGTATACCAGTGGATCCATGTTTCTTGGCGGTCACGAAACGATGCGGAAACTCGTTCGGATTGCGCTTAAACAGCGTGAAACACTTTTTTTTCTTGTAGCTGAACCACCAAAGTACCGATTTTCTAAAACTACGAATATTTTCCGTCCTTGGCGTAGTTGCAACCTTATGTAAACATTTCATTAAACTCCCAGCAGTACTTTCCAACTTATAGACGGGCCATGGATTAGCGGACATACCGACAGAAATGACATGGTTTTTGGTGATAAACGATGATGTATAACATTCAAAAAACCTAATATCTCATTTTTTAATTTTTTTGCGATTGCAATACTTCCTCGCCAGAGGTGTAAGAAGAAAGAAGGTCCAGCAGGTAGTCGATTGTCGGCAACCGGGACCGTCTGAAGCACAATCGGAAGTGGGTTGCGTGTACAGGGCGATTCAGTATGACAAAGCATTGCTGCGTGCGTGGACGAAAGGCAAAGGTGGGAAGTGGAGTACTTTTATGTGAACTTCTTTTTCATATTTTATTATGCTGAAGACTATCTTCTTTATATTTATCCCTTATATTTATCCCGTATATTTATCTAATATAAAAAAATAGTAAACCTCTAGAGACCGCTGGTCACTTCGCGGATTAACTGAAACTTTTATTTAAAGTCTTAAATGTTAATTTCGACTGTATGTGTGAGTTTTTTTTGTCAAGCCTAAGAGTGAATAACATACCTAGTTCCAATTAATTGCTTACGTAAAACGTAATGATAAAAATGTTACAACTGTTTATGTTTCCATCTTCACTGTATCTACTCAACTGAATCATACATTTTTACATCAGCAGACATGCATATTTGTGTCACAGTCAGCCTCATTTTTATCGCATTTTTGCAATTCCTTAGAAAGTACCTAATGGATTTCTATTGTTCGAAAATGCGTTCTATAGGCATGTAAAAAATGACGTCAACTAGGTTGACTCTACACTTTCGACGGAATAGTCATCAGTTCATAAAGAATCATGTATACAGACATAATTTGGTTGCAATGCTGAGAGACCGATACGCGATATAGACATTTCCTCCCACACACCCCTTTTTATGTTTTGCCTGTAGCCCCGCCCCCACTGGATTGATTTTCAAAAACTACAAAGTATTTTCGTGCTGTCCATGCTGGCAACTTTATTTCAAAATTTCATCAAAATACGAGCGGTTTTTTCCAAGTTATAGATGGGTCAAGGATTAGCGGACAGATAGACGGACAGACAGACACACTCAATTAGACCGACAGGTAGACAAACAACAATGAGTGACATGGTTTTTGGGCATGTCATTTAACATCCAAAATAGTTACTTACCTAACAAGTGCGGAAAGAAATGCGAACAAGCTGTCAAGGGCGAAAAATACACTTTCCGCAAGTGTTAGGTATAAGATTTGTTCTAACAGCATGCGGAAATTACGCATCTTCTGCGTGCAGAAAGTAGCACTTGTGAGGAAAAGTTATGCGTGCAGAAAGGTATTACTTTCAGCACGTAGATGCGTGTTGAAAGTGAGTACTTTCCGCACGTTGGTAGAAAAAACATATTTCATTTTCCAAATTTCTCGCGATTACAATACTCCCTCGCCTGTGGGCTGGGAAGTAAAACGGCAAAACAAGCATACCAAATATGAAACATCATTTTTGAGTTTATTTTAAATAGAAACTAGAAGCAAAACTTGTTTTGTGACATGACCGATCAGTATCATCATTCATTGATATTGGTAAAACCACACGGCTGAATTGTTAATGTATTTTTCTAGTTTTATAGTGATAGCAAAAAACATTTCAAAAGTTTGTAATTTCACTTCTTATGGCAAAATTTCGAAATAGCGATATGTTTTGAATGTTACTTGGCATGTACATCATGAAAAACCATGCACTCATTTCCGACAGTCTGTCTGCCTGTAGGCCCGTATGTGGGTCTGTCTGTCGGTCTGTCCGCTAATTCTATAACCGCGAATAGCTTGAGAAGTACCGCCTGGTTTTTCATGAAATTTTCACACAAGGTTACATCTAAGCCAAGGATGAAAAAGCTTTGTAGTTTTTGAAAATCGGCATAGTGGTGGCTGAGATACAGGCAGAAACACGAAAAAAATGAAAATCGCTTAAACCTCGTTTTTGACGTTAAGAGGGTCCGGATCATTTTCGTAAGATTCATTGTAGGGTTTGAAACTTTGCGGTTGGGGATTCTAAGGTGTATGGTGTAGGGGGCTGTAAAAATGAAATGATAAAAATATAATTTATAAAGTGCATCGTCGTAACAAACTCCAACAGGTCTGCGGTGGTGTCGTCACTGAAACACCGGTACAGGAGAAATATTTATATATTTCAGCAATATTTAGATATTTGTAGTACGTAACTCCTTAGCGTTCTGCGATGCTTTTGTAAATGATGACTCGACTGTTTTCATATCTACACATATTTTTTTAATTCTACGATACTGAAATATTCCACAGATTTCGCCTAACCATTGATTTGTGCTACTCCGTCTATGATGGTACAACAGATATGGACTGACAAACCGACATAAATAAGAAACAGAAAACTTGTGAACCGAAGTTCAAATGTTAACGCGAGCTTTATACTTACATTGTTTAGGTAGTCGTAGATTTTGAAAATTGATTCAGAGGCGACGGAAATAAAGACACTGTAACATGGTGTTACGACATTTCAGAGACAACTGCTCATTTTCAGACATTGTTTGAAGATGATAAAAGTTGTATTAAGAAGCCGCTGATCTCGGTGATACTATGCACCTGTTAGACATAGTAAGTCACACATATTTCCCTACATCTGCCATGGAAACAGAAATATAACTAATTTCATATAGTTTGATGTGCAGAGGTTCAATATTCATCGTATCTAAGTGAACCTACCTAATCACTATTCGATTTCGTCTTTTTAAAAGATTTGACACATTACCTTTTCTTTGAAACCTCCAACGTAGGCGTAGGGAGTATAGAGTCAATCTACTTGACGTTTTTGGGACTATTCCTGCCAGGGTAAGAAGCGCCTGAGTCGATGACCCCTTCTTTATCTAGTTTTTTAATATCTCTCAAATATTTAGATATTGATATTTATATTTATATTTCATTGCAGGTAAGCTTCAGCTTTCACAAAAAAACATGCAAGTTGGTTCTATTTATCGCTTAAGTACCGTTGCTTTGTTTTTTGTTAATCTTATTTATATGTCTGTGATTTCGTTTATGTCTTTGTAAATGTTGAGATTTTTGTATAATTCTTGATCTATTTATGTTTAATTATTTTATGCCGATCACTCTTAATAAGAAAGGTTGAATAAACTAAGCAAGGCTGTGACTTTCTCATTCAGGCAACGAAAAGGATACAGTTATCCATAACAATTATGCATCTATGTCCCTTTGTGGTTTATTAGGATCCTTCACTATTAAAATATCACACCCACACAGTCACACGCCTAGATACTTCCGCTTTAGGCAATAGTAGCTGCTGCGTGATATGTTTTCACGTTTCCAAAATTAACAATAGTCCATAAAGTGTATCTCATATTTGCTTTTAGTTTATTTTAAACCATGACACTGTACTTGAACACGTCTGATAGTGATTAGACGTATTTGCGGAAAACATGTACTATTTCGTTAGTTTGCCGGATTTTGAAAGTATCAATAGAAGTTGCTCAACATGTTTTATATAAATCTATAAAAGAATTATTACAGACGGATTTTATCTCCAATCTGTTTGTCATGTAGTATGAGTTTGTTTGATTTGGTATTAGGTATAATAGATATAGCAACAGATTTTAGTAAAGACTAATCTATGTATAGCATAATAAGGAAGCCTTCAAGAGAATCCTATCAGCTAGTTTCAAAGCCCCCTAAATCCATTTTTCAAACAAATTGAGTTACCTGTGTCACCTTGTCGCAGAAAGTCTACATAATTCAGAACCTGCCAAATTACCTTCAAAACCGCTGTTTTCTCGAATTGGTTTCAATATCAACTAAATCTATAAGTGAGTGAAGTCCAAAAATCCCATTTAGCAACAAGGCTCGCTAAATCCAACTGTTGTCTGTTTGGGTCCGCTTCTATTCAAAACGGCGGCGTAGGTTGACACTGTACTTGCTACGCAACGCAATAATCAGTTCATAAAGGTTTATGTTCAGCACAACTCAGACCCTTTGAAGAAAAATTTAGTTACGAACATGTACAACAACAAAAATTAACGGATGAAGTAAATCAGACAAGTATATACAACTAGCCCTTCAACATTCTTTCATTTCCTTACCGGTGGTCCATCTGGCAACATCGCCTCTCCCCGATACCTAACCTGGTCTAAACGCTTAACCGCGACAATAATACTAGGATATTAACCAAGACCGGCACACCACCGGGAGCAGAAGCAGAGGCGTATCTCAAACATTTCTCCAGTAAGGGCAAATGTCTGAGGAAATCTACGATTTACTCATGTCAAAAAATTTACCACTCCCTAATTGTTTACCCTTAGAGGCTTTTAAAAAATCCCCTGAAACGTCTACAAACGAAGGTTCGGCGATTTATTCCGTTTTTGGCCTTTTTCTCCGCCGCTACTGGCCCGACTTTCAAGAACTACAAAGCTTTCTCGTAAGATTGGCTATAATGAATGGGATGTAAATCTAGTATAGCTTGCTTGTAGCGTTTTATTTTTTGTATGCAAATGAACTTTTCTAAATAAAAGAGTAAAAAATTAATTTGTAGCTTATAAAAAACGGCTCTTTCTACCTGGCATTGACGGATCTGTCAGAATAATATGCTTTTTGTCGGTATGGGGAATTTTGAAATACTACTAGATAATCAGCCGTCATTCTACCGTAATGGATCCTCGTAAAAAAATACAGCTATTTCGTAATGTTGTCACATGTGTGGGCACTATGGACTGATTGCGTATGTCATTATGACTAACTTGGTCCATTTAATTTTCTTCAAATCCATGCTTTGTTTAAGGTTTATTTATATATAGGTATACATTCTTTAAAAAACTACAATTACATAACATACAGATATTGAGAAGAACAAAACTTGCCTCCTCATAAGAATTTTCACTGCCTATGAAATGTTCCTTTAATTTTCTTTTAAACATCTTCAAATTACAAGTATGCTTTATGACATTATTTCGTTTATTAAATTCAAGTAATCCTTACTCAAATGTTGATTTGCTATTTATATTACTATTGTTGATACTTTTGAAAATGGAAGTCTATATTCCTTCTTGTATAATAATTGAGGTAATGGTTATTCAATTCTATGTAATGTTCTAAATGTTGTGTCAGAAAATGCTTTTTTATTTTACAAATAAAAATAAGAATCAAATATATGAAATTTTTCAAATTCAACCACAGTCATTCTTTTAACATAGCTAATTTTTTCTAAGACTGCCTAACTTATTATAATATTATCCTTCATGAATTGATGACAGCGTTGCGTGGGATATGTAGAGTCAACTTACTTGACGCCATTATTTATTCGTCTTGTGGAGTTTCATAATGCAACCAGCTTGGAGACAAGCAACATGTGTGTGTGTTTTATTAAAATATACATAAATAAATAATCGCATAACTATTAAATTACAAAATGAGTCCATTTAGTCAATAGTTTCAACTTCCTCTCCATAGTGATTTTTCCAAAATGAGAATTGGCGACTCAAACATCAATGTCCATATGACTGATATCACTGTTGTGACGACATACGTGCTACAAAACTGAAACACCTAAAAACAAACATGCTGTTGAGTTACTTGGTTTCTTACACCAACCTGTGATAAATACGTGGAAAAGCAAACATTATTTTCACATTTCACTGGAACACAAACAAGACAACCGAGTTGCAGATTTACAAGCGTTTCGGCCACCTCGGTGGTCTTTTTCAATGTAACTTAGTAATTTATATTTCAAATAAGGTCGAACTATTAGTGAATTTTCAACTCTACATCATTGTAGGGTTGAAAATGCATTCACCCTGCAAAAAACGCACGTTTGGCAGGTCGGCGATAGCTTGAGATTATTTTTACGAGATAGACAGGTTTGTTTTTAAGTGTAATAGCTTAGATACTCACGTTCAAATAGGACGCTGCAAAGTGACTCTCTCTTACTTGCCCATTCATATACATAATGACTAGAATATGGAGTAAATACATGTTATAGTTTAATTTAATCAGCACATTGAACACGGAATGAGACAAAAATCTGTTCACTGCACCTGCAATATTAATCTTTATTATACAGAGTACTTGCTGGTATACACGGGTGTTAAATTTTCCCTGCAAAAAAACGCGCGTTCAAACGCTGTAGCAGTCACAACACGGTTCCTAGTTTTCTAGTTGACGTTTTAGATAAATACTAATGAAACAGTTTTATTCTCTTACATAACATATAAGTATTTAAAACAAAAACGTCCTAAAGAAAGAAAATGGTGAGTACATCCAGTAAAAGTGATAGTATGACATGTTTCATCTACATCAATGTAAAGCTGAACGCGCATTCTTTTGCAGAGCGACAATATAACGCCAGTGTGTGCTGACAAAAATGTTTCAAAACATATACCTCCGTATCCTTTGTCACAAAGATAAATTATTATACAAATTCCTGCAGACCAAAAAAGTCTACATAAACTATTGTATACTGAGTATTCTAGTATTGATGTCGCGTGATTTCCAGTAAATCTCAAGTCATTATAAATGATGGCACTAGACATCAATGGTAGGGGTAATATCCATAGCAAGTACAGCATACCCTGAAAAAATAAAACTCACTTATTCTGAACTATTTTAAACATAAGGGAGTACCTGTTTTGATTCTTCTATGTGGCCCGCACTCCTCGCCAGACCAAATCCCAATATAAATCCCATCAGCCATGGCGTCGCACGGGTATAGGTTGTAACATAGATATATTTCATCACCTTATTTGTATTTCTGTAAGACAAGAAATCCGGCTAGAAACTCGGCTAAAAAGAGATATCAAAAACTTTGTTACATTGGAACCAATGGCCACTATTAAACTAGAAAATATGTAGCACAATTTCGGATAGGCGTCCTTTTGATGAGATTCTTAATTCAAGAGGAACATTATATCCACCAGATGACATACCCAATGATAGCAGGTCCGACTTCTTTGAACAAACTGATACCAAAGGTGAACCCGCAAGATGCTACTATAAGCAGTATAAGGAGTGCTATGGTACCTCTTGGTTTTTTTATAACCAAGTATAACATAAATGGTGCCAGAAGGTACATTTGTGTATCAACTGCTAGGTACCAACTTTGTCCTATACACTGGAATAGACAGAAACAATTAGAGTCTTGGGTAAAGACAATACTCGAACAATGTTTTTCTGGCCAAATGAAGCCACATATGTAAAAATTACTTTTTGATGTTTCGGCCACCACGGTTGCCTTTTCAAAGTACAGATCAAAATGACAATATATCTTATATTTATCTGTCTTTCAGTATGTTGAAACGACAGATTGAAATGTCCAGTACCATGCCAAGAATGCGCGAAACCATCACTACAATTTTAAGATGACACCGCGCAAAAACAGCAAATCCCTCCCCTCCATCCCGCCAAAAACACACATAGCGACAGGCAAGCATGAGGTTTTCTGTTGTTTTGGATGTACTAGACACGTCATCCGCGCTCGTCGCCCTTACAAATAACAAACGACCTCGCCGCGGACCGAAAAATCCACCCAGACCTGCTGCCGCAACACACCAGCTGACTGTACTTTGAAAAATACCAAAACATCATTATGTGGTTTCATTTGGCCAGAAGGACGAAGAGTTCATAATTTAAATTCGAGAAACTCAAATTTATATGTTATTCTTACGCAACCTTCAAGCAAGTTTAAAAGTAGTTTTAGTTACTTTAATAGTAGTTTTAGTTACATGGCTCCAACCATTTTGAACACGGAGGTTGAACTATACTAAGTGACATATAAATCCGAACACCCAGTCTAAATGGTTTTATTTTAATAAAATTTTGTATAAGTACTTAATGAAGCATAATAAGTAAATGATAAAAATTTCAAAATGATTGCACTGCTTTAAAGCCCTTTGACCTTTAATAATGTGTGGATGCACCCTGATGTGCTACGCATTATCCATCGCGTATACGCATGCTTCTGATCAGGTGGTCAATTTCCTCCTGTGGTATCTCATTCCAGGCAACCACCAACTCCTCTCGAAGTGCTTCTAGAGTCTGAGGAGGACATTGCAAATTGAGCAATCTCCTACCCATCATATCCCACACGTGCTCAATTGGGGATAAGTCGGGAGATCTTGGTGGCCATGGTAACAATGTGTCATCATTATGTTGAAAGAAGTCTATTGTGACTCTTGCAACATGTGGTCGGGCATTATCTTGTTGGAAAGTTGGATCTGTCAGGGTGTCAAGATAGGGTAAAAGATGGGTTTCTAGGATTTCGTGGATATAACGCTGCACGTTCATGTTACCTTTGATGAAGATTAAAGATGACCTGGAACCATAAGCTATAGCACCCCAAACCATAACACCAACAGTGTGATGAACATGTCTTTCAACAAAAAACTGTGGATTCCTCCTTTCACCACGTCGCCTTTTAACCCTGGCACGACCATCGTGCATACCTAAACAAAATCGAGACTCGTCACTAAAGATAATACTGTTCCATTCCTGATCCGTTGTCTGCACCACTCAAGGCGATTACGTCGGTGTTCTCGAGTTAAAGCGAGGACCCAGTGTGGCCGGTATGAAAACAAGCCAAAACTTCTCATTCGTCGGTAAACACTTCGCATGCCAATAGGTCTTCCGTGTTCTGCAACCCATTGATTTGCAATGGACCTGGTAGTGGAGAAACGGTCCCTTAAAGCCAATAATCTTAGGCGGCGATCTTTACCGTCTGTTGTTCTACGGCGGCGTCCAGTGCTCCTTGCTCTTTGCGTACGGCCTTCTGGAAGCCATGCCTGACAACACCTAACCAAAGTGCCTACACTTCTTTGCACTCTAACTACAATTGCCCGAAAAGAAAGTCCAGCTTCCCGAAGTCCCACTATACGGCCCCTATCAAACTCACTAAGTTGACGAAAACGTACAGGTCTCCGTACTCTAGGCATCGTAACCGATCGTAAAGGATGTCAAGAACCAAAATCCGCCAACGTTGATTCTTTACTGCGGCTGAAATATTCATTTTTAGAGCGTTAGTGAATTTAAAAAAGCAGTATAAAAACCGGAATGTCCAACTGATAAGGCTGAAAATTTTTTCACTTGTTATTTACAGTAAGATAAATACATTCACCAACTTTTATTAAAATAAAACCATTTAAACTGGGTGTTCGGATTTATATGACACTTAGTATATTTGAGGAAACTTCCATACAGCAGTTTCAAAAAATACTACAGGCTATGTCTTCTTAACAAGCATAAAGGTGTGTACTAATACTATGTAATTGTGTCAGTTGCATGTATTGACCTTATCTCTCTCTATTAATACATTTTTTTCTGTAGTTATTTACTTGTCCATTAATACAGTTTAAGTGTAGAATGTACTTTTATATATCGGTTGTAATGTGTTCACTATGCCATTTAAATATATTTGGCTGATATCTATCATTAATCTGTTCTTTCGCAATTTGTCTATTTATATTAATGTTTACGAAAGGGTTGAAAGATCTTTATACAATACCCTCTCCTTTTGCGTTCTTTCTCAATAAACGTATTTATCATTATTATTATTATTATTATTATTATTATTATTATTATTATTATTATTATTATTATTATTATTATTATTATTATCACTGTAAATACTAAACGATAACTTTTAGAAATCAAATTAAGAATACTAGAACTTCATACATAGTTTAATTTTTCCAATGAGTATTGAATACTCACCATATTATTGGGATGAACATAGTTCTGTACGTATAACAGTGTTGACCACCAATTTTCCTTGCAGTAGTCTATGAAGAAGTAATTGATGAAGGTCCAAAATGGTCCAGAACCGACGTGATAGAATATAGTGGCATAGAATAGTACTACAACTCCAAGAGATGGGCTTAGCCTAAAAAAACAATAGCTCAAGAAAGTGTTATAAGATGTCATATATTGTAACGAAAATATTCACTAAGGAAAGTAATTCATTACTTCTCAACACGCTAATTTATATGAACCCATTACTAAGTTATAACAAATTTGTGTCAACTGTTCTTCATTGCCTCACTCCCAGTGCATCTGTTCCATTGCCTGGACATAGCTGGGTTACATCAGTGTGTGGCCTTCTCTAGAAAACTAGAGTCGGAATCGAGGCTAGTTCCAGATGATTTAGGCTTCTAGCTAATCTGATTGCCGATAGAAGGCACTACTAGCCTCTCTGCCAGCAGATGGCGGCAGAATGACCGCCAAAGCGACGGTTCTTACTGCCTGCAGCAGATGGCGTCACAATACAAAACAATTATCAGCTATAATTTAAAAAAAAATGCTTGCAAACGTACATCTTACCTCAAGAATCGGTGGATATAGAATTTACAGAAGGGTATACTTTTTTCATCTGTGCTTTTCAATAAGTAGTTGTACGAAACTAGAAATCCACCTGTGACAAAAAACGTATCAACAGCTAAACTCCCCAGACATTGCACTACTTGACGTGAATGCTCCTCATCCTGAAAGTACTTTGTGCTAAAACGCAGAAAAGTAGTGCAAGCTTTCAATATCGCTCATGGATTGCTCTGTATGGGACAGAGTATAGAGTTTGGTATACCTACAGAGGTAATTTAGAATGCTAATCTAGTAGGATCAACAAAAAATGAATGAATGTTGGGACTTTCCGACCACCCCAGCGAAAAACTGACATCAGATTCATGCTCTACATACCCAATTTCAGAAATAAACGAATTGCGGTTGAGATTACAGATAAGAATCATTTAAGCTTTCACCTACAGTGTTGTCTTGCAAATAATTTTTTTATTACGAAACTTCCATTTTCGTCTCGTGTTGTTACAAGACAACTAAACTATGTAGATTGATATGTAGAAATAATTTGGGACACTGGTTTCGAATACGTTCATCAAAAATGCCAAAGTGTTACGATGTCATATTTAGTATAGAAAAATGCCAGTTTTGGGTGCTCGCATAGATCTCAGCGGAAAATTGATATAAAGAACCCTACATAAAATATAAAAAATGGGTCCCAGTCGATGTGTCTAATAATGCACGCCTCGTGAGCAAAACATCTCATGGGAGCAAAGTAGTCCTATGATTAGTTTCTGAGAAATGGGAACAGTTTGCCTATTTCCAAAAATAGTGAATGTGCACATAAAATGGATTTTTAAATTTGTCGGGATAACTAATCAAATGCAGCATGAATCAAATCTAGAAGACCTTTATTAAATAGCTGGTACTCTTATTAACAGATACCAGACTTTAGTTATTATTTATGCCTACATTTTGCGCTACAACAACGACGCAAGACCCAAACGTCGGGCTCGCGCTAGATGAAACAAGAAATTTACAGACCTTTTAGAAACCCAATATAGTATCGACTATGGATGTTTTATCGGCAACATCATGAAAATAACAAGAATTCACCACAAGATTATGCAATTAATGGGTACTATTGCGGATGTAAACCTGGCGAGCAAGCTCTAGGCACTCTAACTTGACATGCTCTCCACGAGATTACTGTTCACATCTTTCGAAAAACTCCAAATCGCCCGATATTCCGGAAGCAGACTAAAACTCAAATTAATAGAGAATAAATTACAATACCCTAAAGCTACGTTCGCATTAGTGCGCTTTTTATCTTTATTTCGCATTCAAAATCAAAGTGACCTTGAATTGACCTTGTAAAGGTAGTAGTAGTAGTAGTAGTAGTAGTAGTAGCGGTATATTGTAGGAAAAGAAATAATTTACAAGATATACATTCCAATAATACAATTGTACAGTAAACACGGAAAACCCCAAAAAGATAAACTTGTGCTGGGCATTAACCGACTTCTAGAGACAATTAAACCTTGAAACAGCATAACTTCAGTTAAAGTCCAAAATTATACATGATAAACGAGCTGATTAAGTAAAACTAAAAAAAACACATAACTTATTAAAAGCTAGTAGTAACGTTATAATGCAGAATTACTCTTATTAGTATATATAAACGCTAAGAGAGTAATAACATGTAAAAAGAAACTGACAGAATATACAGAGGGAAACAGATGAAGAAGTCATAGTACTCATGAAGTGGAACTGTCTTCTTTTTTAACTCGTGCCAAATCCATTTTAGTGTCAAAGTACAAAAATAAACTGCTCTTTAGTTGAGCTTGTTAAGATCATATCCAAGATCAACATAGCACCTCTCAATACCCCTTCCTAAAAGGTCTTAAGTTAAATGCTTTCTTCAGAATAATCACTCTCTGACTAACCGGCAAACTTTCTCAAACTCTAATCATAGGATAGCTTTGGTTTTGTACGGAATCCTTTAAGATCTGCCTACCCTATTTACCCACAAGCCGGGCTTTGATCTATATCTCTACATTGCAATACGTTAGAATTTTAGAATGTTTAAATCATAAACTTGAATTCGCTAGTTTATAAACTACCACTTTGTCCTAACTATACGCCTCTGATATAGGAGGTGAGTCTTTTTTTCTCAACTTGCTAATAATGGATAGCACTAAAGACAACTGACTCAACGTTATAGTGATAATATGTAGTAAACTAGTACAATCTACTTGCACTTACGTGTTTAGCGAACCCACCTTTGCGTAATCGATAAGGTTGATAAGCGGTTGAATCATAGAATACATGTAAATATGAGACAACACAGTTAACATCATACTAACTACTCTGAGGCCATTTAAGCAACCTACTGTATTCTTGGACGTTCTCGTTGAAATCAATTTCTGGCCATTCGTATAAAATGAGAATGCGATCAAAATAGTGGATTTTTGATCTGAAAATGACAGATAAATTTATTATACGCTTATGCAGTTTTAAATGTATGTCTTACCACTTTTACTGAATATTAAGGCATCGTACAAGGTAGAGAGAATACAAACTGTAGCCATCAATATGAAGAAGGACCTGCAAAGGACCAACAAGTAAATCTATCTGGAAGGTGTAATCCAGGGGACTCGCTCAACTGGTAGGCACAAGAGCGTACACAGATCAAAACGAAAAAACATTTTTGGTGGAAGTTCCACAAATCATATATATTTAGCTATACTTGCTTTTTTTTCTTTATTTGCATTTCATTGTTTTATCCATATTTACAGAGTCTTCCACGGCGCTTTTACAATTCATATCGACATGGAAAACTAGTAGGATTGCTTTTTGAACCATTCAAGCAAATATACGCGATACGCTTTCTAAGAAATAATTTAGTTGTTTGCAATACTTGAGATAATGTATGACAAATGTTTGCTATACATTTTATATACCTGTTGTTTGGGCGTACATATCCCTCAATGTTCAAACAGCCTGTTCATTCATTCAGTCCAGTCAATAGACTACAGAAGAAAACTGTAATCGCGAAAAAACTTAATTATAAATATAACATAGCAAACATATTTTTGTGGCCTTCGTCAGTAATCCTTTACCTTCTATTACAGGCCGAACAATATTTATAGTTCTTGTTAATCTGTTTGCTAAAACTTTTAGAACATACGTTATGGCGATAGAGTAACCGTAAAAAAACTAATTTAATCATTGGTCTTTCTATAACCTGGACAGTATCAGTGGATTTTGGAGAAATTTTGAAAGGATTGTCTGCTGGTACCAGTGACCAAAAAATAACAAATTCTGGGTATCTTTTATAATAAATTGCATGGTAAAGGGACGAAAACACCTTCAAAATAAGAACTAACGGGTATGTCCAGTTCGTTGCAATGGTTAATTGGTTATTGCAAAAAAATCTTTATTCTTTGCCAGAGGGCGCATAAGAGTAAATATGAAATAATAGCCAAAACTTAAACCCTTTGTAGTGATTAGTATCCAAAAATGCTAAATTATCCAGCGACGTAACTGCTGCAACAAGTTAGACATGCAGGGTTAGTATTTAGCATGTAACATAATTGGAAAATATTTCCATTCCAATAAAAAAATCAAAAATGTTATTTACAAGAATTGTTTACGATTCGCTTCCTACTTGGAATATACCTCCGTACAGGGTGTCCGTGTAATATGGATATCAGAAATTGATGCATTATGTTACGTAGAAATCCACTGATGGTACGGACTGTGGTAAATATTGATCGTGTGACATTCGCTTGACCGTTTTCTGGATGCCAAAGGCGAGGTTTGAAACATTGGTAACATATGTATGTAGTGCTTTTAGCAAAATTAAGTTTATATCCAACATAGGTTCCAACGAATCCTAGTAAATTATAATTAGTACATATTGATTCAGTTTGTAGAGAACCCTGTACATGAATAATTTAGGTCTACTAAAAAAAAATAATTTGTGCCGAGACAAGGACAAGGGTCTGCTCTACTCTGGTCACTGATAGCCCGCTGCATACCTACTCAATACTCGTCACATACACCAGCCGTAGTGGCTTCTACTACGAGGGATGTCTTTTAAGTTTTGCATATGGAAATGAAACAACACGGTAGGTAGTTTTAAATGACTTTATTGTTTTTCGAAGTATTCTCCATGAAGATTAATATACATCTGCATGCGCTCGAACCAATTTTCGAAGCACTTATTCCACTCGCTTGCTGGCAGATCCAATACGGCATTTTTTAATGCGTCAACTGCTTCTTCTGGTGATTGGAACCTTTGACCATGCAGTCTGTTTTTAGTTTTCGAGAAAGTAAAGAAATCATTAGATGGTCCAATAATTCCACGTTTTCTTCCGTTAAGTACTGTCTTGTTTTTTGAGCTGTCTGTGAGCTTGTATTGTCTTGGTATAGGATGATTCTTCTTTCGGGGTTGATTTTTCGACGCTCGGTGATGACTTTTGACAAACAAATGGTGGTATACCAATCCGCAGTAACAGTTCTTTGCTCATTAAGGGGAATTGTTGCAATATGACTCGCTTTTGACACAAATGTCGCGACCATCATTTTCGAAACACTTCGAAAACGGATGACTTTTATTGGCTTTTCTTCACCTTGGAACACCCAAACAACCTACTGTCGTTTATTTTCTGGTTCATAACAGTAAATCCACAATTCATCACCACTAACAATGCTCTACACATTTTTTGAGTTTCCGGAATTGAAACGGTCAAGCGTTTTTTGGCACCAATTAACCCTGGCTGCTTTCTGCTCTTCACTCAACAGGTGGGGTATCCAACGTGAAACTAATTTTCTTACTCCTAATTCTTCATGTAAAATTTTTTGAATTGAGTTCTTTGAGATCTTCAGGGACGCCTCCATCTCGCGATATGTCACATGTCTATCTTCAATGATGAGTTTGCGCACAGCATCGACGTTTTCCTGTGTATTTGCCGTTTTTGGTGCACCCACCCTGGGATCGTCGCTAAGACTCACAGGTCCACGTTTGAATTCTCCATACCAACGGCAAATTGTCGACTGATGTGGCGCTTCGTTGCCGAAAACAGGCAGTAACTCAGCAAGGCATTCTTGTTACGATAAATGTCTCTGAAAGTTGTAATAAATTATGGCGCGAAAATGTTCTCGGTTGAGTTCCATTTTTCTAATGACTTGGTGACACTTAAAAATTCACTGTAGCGAGAACACTGCACGTATTGTTGTGAAACTTTGAATTTAAGTTTACTAGAGAGTGAGGTTGAGATTCAGTACTGACGTTCGATCCGCGCGGCTTACTATGTTTCTATATGCAAAACTTAAGAGACATCCCTCGTACGCCGACTTGACAGTAAGCTGAGGAAACACATTTGGTCAAAAGTGATAAATTGAAATATTTATTTACTTTATTTATTTTGTCATGTAATGAATTCCGTATTAGTTAGATTACTGAATTGGTCTAGCTGTAAGAACCAGCCGTGTTTTAATTTTCAGGTCAAACTAAATTCTGTAACTTCTATAAACGATAGTAGATTAGGGAAAGCTGATCCATTTTGCGCTAGGGCGATACGACAGTGGTTCAACTGCCCCTTTGCTATGTCTGACTAAAGAGATAGTAATTTTAACGTTAATTTAATGTTTTCCAGTGCCATTTCAATACTGAAGTAAAACTAGTTCAAGAGTTACTAAGTAGGAGTTTCAAAGCTATATTTAAATGTGAAATCTGGTGCCTTTCTTTGGCAAATAACCATCAAATATAGCCAATAAAACAGAATCTGAAGAGTAGAGTGTCATTCAATACACTGACAGCACTGGGGGCCACGAATGGGAAGAAGCTCTTGATTTAGATGGTCTTGATATTATTTTCCATGTCAAATGGAAGAAATTTTTAATCCTGGGGCTTTGTCTTTCTTGCAAGAGCTATGCTCACGAGATTCGCGTCACATTCACCAATAAAGGTAATAAAAATTCCTTATGAATGCGACAGATCATATTGACTAAAATTATAAAAACATTATGACATTTGTATATTCTTTTATCTCATTATTCGTCCAAAGACACTTTGACGTTGACACTTTTTATTTATAGATTACTCATGAGCAGACCTTCCAATATTGCATACCTCATGAGAATAGAGGATAAGATAGTAGAAGTGCTGTTTGTCATTTAAAAGATGTTTGCCTTCATCTTTCTGTAGAAATGGTTGTGTTTATATTGCCCTTTTGTTATGGTCCGCTCTTCCATGCATTCGGGACACTTGAACCCCAATAACTACAGCTCAGCCACCGAACTAACTACTAACATCACGTAACAGTAGTTGAGAGTTAGTTAAGATTCAATGCATCAAGTCAATTTTATGCACGTTCAACTTTCCTGGACTTCCCCTACCACTAGAATTATCCGATATTTTAATTTCAAGTTAGTACGTCTACGAAAATAGCTTATTTGAGGTACAGACGGCAAAAGATAAGTATCGAAATGCAGATAGATTATTACGACTTATTTGCTCTACTAAGAATTGTTAGAAAATGCTAGTCTTCTGATCATGACAGTTTTTACATAGAGGACCCCGATAAGTTAAGCTTCCATCATGTTAGGGCAACATAGAGTTATCTTGACCTTTTTACTAAATTTCTCCTTATGTTACACCAACTTACAGAGAGATTATAGTAGCCAATGATAGTTGATTTTTATCTTTGTAATCACAAAGATCTTCGTAAAAATGAAAATGAAATGGGATGTCCAGTATTTCAGTAAGATACTGGGCAAGCTCGTTGAGAACGTCTTCTGTGCAGGCTGCTGGTATGCAGACACCATACGTCATTCTTATGTCTTGCATACTATCTTTGTCTAAAAGTTCGCCCTGAAAATATCAGAAACAGAAGTGACATGTTTGATTCCAAGCTTTCTAAAACAAGCAATAACTGACTTTACAAAAATCAAAGCGTCACCTTCCGTGAATACATCTAATACATTTGTTAAAGAATAAAAAAAATCACCGTTTCGATCGCTTTTCTAGGCTTTCTATTTTCATATTTTTTTTTTCATTTGGTTCATCTCTACTATATTCGAACTAGATTTACTAGGGTTTACTATGTTTGTATAAAGAGTCTGCTGGCCTTGAATTTACTTTTCAATAAAAGCTTGGTAATATAATATCAAATTCATATACACACCTTATTTTGATGTTCTACATTATTTACTATAGTTGTGCAATATTTTCCTTTGACTGTGTGGTTATGTAAGTTGTCTACAGAGTTTATTTTGAGGCACTCATCGTAACTTCCTACGAACATTATGTTTCCTTCCAAAATTCCGGAAGAAAATTTTGCTGATGCGTCCACCACTAATTAAAATCAAAAATATTTAATGAAAAACAATTCTAGAGGAATTTACGTTCAGTAAATATAATTTTTAATAATATTGTCTATACATTTTTCCATTTGTACCATTGCTTAACATAATATTCTACCAAAAGGTAGCCACACTGAGAAAAAAATTAAACCAATGAAAATTTCAAAAAAATTGAATTAACCATGTGATAGCTAATAAGTTTGACAGGTTTAATTAAACTCCGATTTCTACAACAGTTTTCTTGAATCTATGAAATTAAGTCAAAACGTCATTGTTCAAGTAAATCTATTAAGCTACTAACTTAGTACTAAAAATAAATTAACAATTAAAATTAGTTTACCTGCTCCAAGTAAAGCAATTTAATTATATTTATTAAATTTGTTTAATTGAAAAAAAAATTGAAAGAATTAGCTTAGCTTTAATGAATTATTTTATTTAGATTTAAAATTATATTTGGATATTTGTACTTCAAAAGAACAATTTGCATTTAACTGAATGATGTATATTATGACAAATCTCAAAAAACTTGGAAAGCTTAATATTGATATTTAACGTTCTTGAACCAAAACAAAAACTTCAGAATTTTATAGCCCTAAAAAAATTCGATGTTTTTTATATTTATGGATTGTGAACTTATTATATATACATGGGATCAATGTTCACAAGTTATTTGTCTGATTGACCAGAAACAGGTTATAACACCGTTCACTTGAAGCAATTCTTTCTTTAAATCTAGAAAATAAATGCATTTGGGAGCACCATAATGCCGCCAAGCACTTGGTTACAACTATATTCATAAGGAATACCATCTTCAAGTACCAGGGTTGCCAGCTCTCCAACTGTTTCCGCAACGTATAAGGTTTCCTTTTCCGTTGTTGGGAGATTCTGAGTATACAGGGTGACGGAAAAATAGATGCGGAGCCAGAGGGGGGAGATAGTACAAGCCAATCTGAGTCGATTTTACTATAGGAACTACTGCCCGAAAATTAGCCGTTTTCGAATTACATATACTAATTTTTAAGATTTAATAAAATTACCGTCCTTTATACATTATTGACGTGATCTCATGCAGTAAGCTTCAAAATAGTACGATTTTTGTTAAAAAAATCTTCGTTCATCTCGAACGCTTCAGTTTACTAGAAAAAGTTGCATACAAATTTTTGATACAAGATAATTAGGAAACATCTACGTTTCATTACCTTTCAAATGAGGTATAAAAATCATGAATCGATTAAGAATTGGCAAAAATATGACTATTATAACAGGAGGAAGGAAAAAGCAATAAAAGTACTACACTTACAAAATCATACCTTAAGGCAGGATAATTTGTTTGAAACTACATTTCTTTATTTTTCTATTACATTTTCAATATGGCGCCCTCTATTTCTAATGCACACACGTGCTCTTCTTATAGCAGCTGATTTTACTACCGCCGAATTCCTAAGAGAGGCTTGAATTTCTTGTGCTGCATGTATTATACTGTTTCTGAGGTCTTCTATTGTGGGTACAGGATTTTGATCAGAGTATACTATAGTTTTCATGCGACCCCACACAAAAAAGTCAATAGGTGTGAGATCGGGACTGCGTGCTGACCATAGGATTGGTCCGCCTCTACCGATCCATCGATACGGAAACTGTTTCAGAGGCGGACCGATCCCATGGCCAGCATGCAGTCCCGATCTCACGCCTATGGACTTTTTTGTGTTGGGTCGCATGAAAACTTTAGTATACTCTGATCAAAATCCTGTACCCACAATAGAACACCTCAGAAACAGGATAATACATGTAGCACAAGAAATTCAAAGCCTCTCTTAGGAATTCGGCGGTAGTAAAATCAGCTCATAATCTTATTAAGCAGAATTTTATACAGCAACAGTGAGACACTGAAATTTTCAATAAAATGTTAGTAGCAGTAGTAATAGCGTCAATTGACGTCAAATGACGGCTAATAACCATAGAAGTTGACGCTGTCTCAAAAAAAAATAATAATAGCGTCAATTTGCGTCAACTTTTGCGTCCGGGCCCAAATGAAAAATATGTTTTTATAGTTGATTCATGTGATATATGAAGTATTTCTTGATTTAATATGATAATTAGGAGCGCATCTTAAAGAAATCGACCAAATTCTCATCATCCATTACTTCAAAGCCGCCTTTTATTGATCCAATTTGTGCCAAGGGCACAATTTTGATTACCGTCGGTCAACAGTAAAATCGACCCCTAGAGTTATAGGCGATTTTGTGCTTGAAGTAGCCTAAAATTGCTAGTCTAGATACTTAAGAACTTAGATATCTACGTTATACTTTTGAGGTTCTCAGGTCTCTAAATAAAAGTTCACGCTTTTCCCTACAAGACCCCACAGAGCACTTTAGGCTTAGTTTATTTTAAAGCGATTTTTAACATCGTTTGTTAAGCCAAAACTGCCGAGCTTTTGATTTTAACGGTCTGTTTACGGCGTGTTCGCCGCTTGAAAAAATCTTATCACCAAATTCACTATCATTGTAAATGTAAATGTCCGAATACTCACTTTTTAGAGCCCATATTTCACTATCTTCCAAACCTTGTACCAACAAATTCAACTGAAGCAGACATGGATCTTTAGAGAGCGAGGAGTTCTTCAAACTATCCAGAAAATCGTCAAGTAATCCAGCTGATACCTCCGCTCCAATTTTTTGGATGGAACTTGTTTGCTTCCATTCTTTCTGCAAAGATTCACCTCCAAGTTGAAGAAAAATTGTGAAAAAAATAACTTTGAAGAACAGAGCTCGACGCATATTGGACACATTATGGTTTCAATACGTGCTAGAACAATACCTTCTCTTGGGACGGTTTCTAATTCCTGGGTAAACTGTGTGTTAAAGATTGGATATTATGCACATAAATGTGTTGAGAACGTTGACAATCTCATTTGTTTAATTCATGAATGTGTCTGTGATTTGAAGTATATTTATCCACGTAGCAATGTTTATATTAGATCTAATTATCTGTGAAAATTCGTCACGGCTGTGTTTCTCCTCCCGCAATAATTTGAAATCTACTTTGAAAAGGTTGTTGCCTCATACATGACGCTGTAGTTATATAAACATATATCAGCATACACTGAGAACTAAATTTGTCTGACGGTTTGAGTTCAAAATGTACAATAGATAAGCGTGTATAGACACATATTATGTTAGAAAGAAATAGAAGCCTGCTGGATAGCGAAGCTCATCACCGCGTCGCCTAGCAACGCTGACGCGGCTACTTGTCAAGTCGCATCAAAATTGAAATAAATAATTTTAATCAAAATGAAAACAAAGTATGAAATTAAATTTTCGAACATACCTCCTTTTTGGGTTTGACAATAACCTAACCTATTGTAGCAGCCTGTTCGAACATTTTCTGGTTTAACATATTGACAACAGGCAGATTGCACCATTGCAAGGCAATGTGGTAATGCTCTTCAGCTGGCTTCTATCTGTTTCTAGCATGTGTTGATGCACACTTTTCGCGCACATTGAACTCACGCCGTCAGACAGATTTGGTTTTCCCTATATAGCTTAATTCGATAGAATTATGAGAAAGTCTTTTAAAAAAACTGACTTATTGAGTTTTTCAAAATCTAGATTTCATTCTTTTTTATTACTAGCCCTGTAGATCGCCTGTCCCCTACTGTATGAAAACCGTTACAAATCGCATGGACAAAGGATACAAGAAAAATTGTTAATACCAAAAGTTCGCCAATTTTGGCCTGGCAGGAAAGGTTGAAAATCGCTTTAAAATAAAGTAATTTCAAAATACCCATCGGGATCTTGTAAACCAAGGTTTAAACTTTATTTTGGATACTTGGCGACCTCAAAATATATTATTTTTAACGGAGCATTGAATATACTATTTCTGGGGCTGTTCAGAGATTAAAAAGCGTATAACTAAAAAATGGCCAGCTTTAAAGAAAAGTTAATGGTATCCGTTTGTTGTTCAGAATGATTCAAAAAATCTGAAAAAAATTTGTACCGATAAAAAAGTACAATTTATTTAAAACAGTTCTTTAAATAGATTTAATCTGGGTTATCGTGAGAGTATATCCAATGCTTACAAGACCTTGAAGAGTATTTTCAGATTATTTTATTTTAAAGCGATTTCAACCTTGTTCTTCTGGCCAAAGCTGACGAACTTTTGGTTTTCGCAGACTGTACCTCATAAATACTTAGACTTGACTGTAGGATGATATACATTGAATGTCTTTAGAATCTGGCGTAAAATCTAAAAGTTGAATCATATACTTCTATATTCTTCTTAAAATCTCCAAGTTGGTTTCTACTTCCGCTCCGCCCGGACGTGCCACCATTTTAAAGTATTTTAGCCGAATTGTTTCCATCAGTTATATTATAACCGCAAATTTTCATAATCTTCTAATATCTACTTTTCGATTAGTGTTTGCAGTTTTACGTGGGTTACCCTGTATGTGCGAACTTTCGGAAAACCTAAAGCTTGAGTATTATGTATTCCACTTCATTCAACTAATAAATAACACTGATAAACACAGGATTTGTGATATGACAATTTTTGGGTGTATCTTATGTATATACCTATTTTGAGACCCTTAAATCAAATCTAAAAACAGAATTTTTCTATCACTCACAGATATCCGGTAACATCTACTTTTATGAATTACAATACTTAACATCTCATATTTTTGTATTTCTCGGCGCTTATGCGATGACGCACATATATAATGTTAAGACCTGTCTATTCATGTTCATTATATGCGATCTTTATGTTTAGAAAGCGTATTGCGCTTATTAGTAGGCTAATAGCACCCGAGTCAGATACGGATTCTGTGTTGAAGAGTACTGAGATGTCCTGAGTACTGTTAATTTTTGTTAAAACGGTGTGTTATTTTTAGTTTATTGTGAGCGAGACTAACTTTATGGACAATGCCTAGAAATTGTGTAAATAGTGCGAACAGTTTTTGTTATGTGTGCGGAGAGCTAACTTTTAAATCCCAAAATCTTACCCTTACTCCCCTTGTATTGAAAGCAAACGAACTTTATTTTGGATCGTAAAATGCCCTTTGCGGTACCAATGGTTTGGTGACAACTGAGAGACCATACTACTGATTGCTATTTTTACCTCACAAATATTATAGGTATTGGACCAAAATCGAAACATACTGTTAGGTATTTTAATTTACCATCAGCTTCGCGGCTCGTTAAGCACAGTGATGAACTTTCTGCCCAAGTTCCACCAGAATCTTGGTCTTTGGATGAAAGAGTTGAATCCACCGTTTCTGAAAGTGATGGTACAGAAAGCGTTAAAATTTCCGATCCTTCGTTTTACATGCCAGGATATTCAACAGCGCCGCATTTGATCGCACAGGGCGAACTTAATGATTCAGTTCGAGAATTAAATCTGCCAAAATCCCAGTCGGAACTTTTAGCGTCAGGATTAAAAGGATGGAATCTTCTCCACTGTGATGTTAACACTACTTTCTACGGAAAACGGCAAAACAAGACCTCACACACTGTTTCCGTCAAGAAAGGGAGTTGATATACTAAGTGACATATAAATCCGAACACCCAGTTTAAATGTTTTATTTTAATAAAAGTTGGTGAATGTATTTATCTTACTGTAAATAACAAGTGAAAAAATGTTCAGCCTTATCAGTTGGATATTCCGGTTTTAATACTGCTTTTTTTTAATTCACTAACGCTCTAAGAATGAATATTTCAGCCGCAGTAAAGAATCATCGTTGGCGGATTTTCGTTCTTGACATCCTTTACGATCGGTTACGATGCCTAGAGTACGGAGACCTTTACGATTTCGTCAACTTAGTGAGTTTGATAGGGGCCGTATAGTGGGACTTCGAGAAGCTGGACTTTCTTTTCGGGCAATTGCAGTTAGAGTGCAAAGAAGTGTAGACACTGTGGTTAGGTGTTGTCAGGCATGGCTTCGAGAAGGCCGTACGCAAAGAGCAAGGGGCACTGGACGCCGCCGTAGAACAACAGACCGTGAAGATCGCCGCCTAAGATTATTGGCCTTAAGGGACCGTTTCTCCACTACCAGGTCCATTGCAAATCAATGGTTTGCAGAACACGGTAGACCTATTGGCATCCGAAGTGTTTACTGACGAATGAGAAGTTTTGGCTTGTTTTCATACCGGCCTCACTGGGTCCTCGCTTTAACTCGAGAACACCGACGTAATCGCCTTGAGTGGTGCAGACAACGGTCACTCTGGGATCAGGAATGGAACAGTATTGTCTTTAGTGATGAGTCTCGATTTTGTTTAGGCATGCACGATGGTCGTGCCAGGGTTAGAAGGCGACGTGGTGAAAGGAGGAATCCACAGTTTTTTGTTGAAAGACATGTTCATCACACTGTTGGAGTTATGATTTGGGGTGCTATAGCTTATGGTTGCAGGTCATCTTTAATCTTCATCAGAGGTAACACGAACGCGCAGCGTTATATCCACGAAGTTCTGGAACTCCACCTTTTACCCTATCTTGACACCCTGGCAGATCCAACTTTCCAACAAGATAATGCCCGACCACATGTTGCAAGAGTCACAATAGACTTCTTTCAACATAATGATGTCACATTGTTACCATGGCCACCAAGATCTCCCGACTTATCCCCAATTGAGCACGTGTGGGATATGATGGGTAGGAGATTGCTCAATTTGCAACGTCCTCCTCAGACTCTAGAAGCACTTCGAGAGGAGTTGGTGGTTGCCTGAAATGAGATACCTCAGGAGGACATTGACCACCTGATCAGAAGCATGCCTAGGCGCGTTGGAGAATGCGTAGCACAACAGGGTGCATCCACACATTATTAAAGGTCAAAGGGCTTTAAAGCAGTGCAATCATTTTTAATTTTTTATCATTTACTTATTATGCTTCATTAAGTACTTATACAAAATTTTATTAAAATAAAACCATTTAAACTGGGTGCTCGGATTTATATGTCACTTAGTATATATTGCTCCGATGTCAACAATTTGTTTGACCCGTTAGGACAGAAACATGATCCAAATGATTGGTTCCTCTAAGCTTAGTTTAAAATCGGTATTGGTGCACAACGGTAATAAATATTCATCTGTGCCTATAGCGCACGCATATGAAAATATGCGAGTTCTGTTAGAGCATATCCGTTATAATGAATATGGATGGGCCATATGTGGAGATTTAAAGGTAATAGCCCTTCTTCTTGGAATACAACTGACATTATACCAAATATTGTTGTTTTCTTTGGAATGGGACAGTCGTGCGCGAGATCGTCATTACGAACAGAAGGAGCGGCCACTACGTCAGGTATTAACTCCGAGCATCAAAAACATTGCTCATGAACCACTATTTGATCCCAGAAACGTCTTGCTTCCACCTTTGCATATTAAGTTGGGACTGATGAAAATTTTTGAGAAAGCTATGGATCTAAATGGAAGGGGGTTTCTGCATCTAAAACCAACATTTCCGAGACAGTGAGGCAAAAACTAAAGAGGGCATATTTGTGGGTCCACAAATACGAAAAATCATGAAGGATGATATATTTGTCAGTACTCTAAATGAAACTGAATGACGAGCTTGGAATGCTTTTAAATCAGTTACTGCAATTTTTTTAGGCAATGTGAAGGCGGACAAGATATTGGGAGTGAACTAATTAATACTTATAAAGGAATGGGATGTAGCATGTCTCTAAAAACTCACTTTTTGGATTCTGATCTCGATTTTTTTCCGGAAAATTTAGGTGCGGTAAGTGATGAACATGGTGAACGGTTTCACCAAGACATTTCTGCTATGGAAAACCGGTATCAAGGCAAATGGAGTGTCTATTTGCTTGCTGATTATTGCTGGACATTGTTAAGAGATACTTCAGGAGCAACATACCACCGTGAAACATCGACAACAACATTCTGAGATTAATGTTTTTTCGAGTGATTATTAGTACTCTTACCCACATATCCTTATATTTTACGAGTATAAGGAGCAAATAAAATGCCTTATTGCAAGAAAACCGTGCGTGATAGAAAAAATCGAATGCTATTTCCGGGTCTTTGGGTACGTTTTACATAATAACTACCTTGTTTTGCATTGATAAAAACA